AATACAGATTGACGTAACCACACATTCATCATTTGACGTGGGCAAGGCAATGCACAAGCAGGTCGCATGGAGCCCAGAAATGGATACTGCACTACTGCGTGAGGTCGTCGCACCATACGACGGCGAGTACGGATCTTTGATCCTGCGTTGGAAAGCCATTGCAGCCAGTTTCTCAATGTACTTCGAGGCGGACATTCCGTACCGTTCGGCGCGGGAGCGCAACGACGGCATGGTGGACCCCAAATCAAGGCTACGGACATGGCGCATCGGCTTTGGGGCACTGGAAGCGATGAAGACGTCACCGAACAAGCTCAGCTGTTGTAAGACCTGATCGACCGACGCGGCACAGCCGACAGCAGAAGAAGGGCGAAAAAGGACAAGGACCAAAAGCACCCGGAGACCTTGGAGTCGACGGGATCTCAATTTTGTGTCGAAGCTGAGCATCGAGTGGCCAAACTTCAACGCACAGGTGGGGCCGGCGCAGTACCGACAAAGAAAGAAGAGCAGGAGGTAGTTGTGTCTCAGCTACTGGAATTCGAACGGCAGAAGCACCTCGATGATCATGCGTACAGATTGCGACGTTTGGCATTTGAGAAGGAGGAGCAGAAAGTTCGACTAGCCCAACTTGCTGAAAGTACTCAACGATGCGCGCAATTGGAAAAGAGTTTTCCCGACATGGGAGATTTAGTAACTGTAAAGCTGTTGTTAATAAATCAAGGTTATTCCGCATCGACATTGCAGTATTAATTACAGTAATACTACGTAGTATCTCATTAGTACTACGTAGTATCTCATTAGCATAATAAAGTTGGATGGAATATACTGGAATCAAGTGATCGTCGGACCATTCGTCCGACTTTCTTGTTCATTGGAATACATATTTCATACACAATCCAATACAAACACCATGGTTGGTAAATTTACGCAATAAAGTCGGACAAAAATTCCTGTTGAGAATGATTGGTGCAAATTGACATTTGACCATGGCAGACGAGACTCGTAATGACATCTCGGTGTCCATCGCAACCAGGCAGCAATCAACGACTGTACAGGACCTTCGAGACAACCGACTCGCCGAGAGCTCCCAGAAAGGCTATCGCAGCTGTGTAAAGCAAATCACCATTTGGATGCAAGCGTCTGGCCGCGCACACATGCTCAACGCAGATGGCTCCATCAATCTCGAACTCTGAACTTCACTGAGTTTGTGCTCCACAAGTACATGAACTCAGGCGTAACTCTTTCAACCATGTCCGTCTACCGGTACCGTTCTGCGCTAAAGGACTACTACAACAAGCAAAACGTGCCACTACCAAACGGATTTGGCACAGACGCTACCGTCACATACCAAGGTCGCCAAATATGATTTCAATCTATCCACAAATCTAACTCGCCTCTGGGGATACGACGTCTTTGTGCAAGTGAGACGCAAGCTGGCGCTATCAAGTCTGGTACCAAGCAGCCACTTCGGCATCACCAATACGTTGAGCTCTGCAAGGCGAGTCTTTCAAAAATGGACGCTGGTTTCACCCACCTCTTTTTGGTCTTGTCGTGGAATCTCATGTGCCGCTCCAGATCTACGCCAACAATTCGTATCGATCACATTTCTGACGAAGGTGACGCGCTTGGAGTAACGTTTCTCAAGTCGAAGACTGACCAAGGCAGGCAGTTCCGATGCCGTTAATGCTACTGGTGCTCTGGTTTTTCCGCGTCTATGGGTGCACCCAACTCTTCGTGGCGTCTTGTGGCGTCTTGTGGCGTCTTGTCTCTCTGTTTGGCGTCGTTGGTCCATCACAAAGCTTTCCTTGTGACAGCTCTCCCACCCAAGCACCCCCTGCTCTCGTCCGTACTTTTTGGTGATGCATCAGCAGCTGCCATTGTCGGAGCGAATGTGGCCCTCACGTCGCAGACCATACAGCCTACAGGTATCCCCCCTCACGTCGACCTTCATAGCCAGATAGATCAAAGTTTGGCGGTTGTGCGCGCACTTCCTAGCGCGATCCGTGAGAGCATCGGGGTTTCGGGGTTTCGGTACTGTACAGTACATGCTTTGTCATAATAATTATGGTCCGGACCAGCAACACAATTTTCATGTTAATCGGTCGATAAAAGCACGCGCAAGTAACCCAACAAGCGTGAAAACCCCAAGCACGCGTGAACCCCCCAAAAATTGTTCAAAATACGCGACACGAGTAAATACCCCAAAAAGCACGCGTGAAAACCCTACACCCATCTCGACGAAAAAGGCGTCACAGCGGGCAACATCACACATGCCATGCTCGAGCAGCTCCTGAGGGAGACAGTGGCGACAATTGTCAGCATGGAACCAGCCAACAACCCAAGTTTCTCTCAAGTTGTTGAAGACCTGCTAGACCTGTTCACTACTGGGGGGGTCGATGGCACCTGCTCCCAGAGACCTTTGAACTACCGTCGGTCGATGTTGCCACGGCTTGGCATCTGTGGTGGTGTGGATCGCCGGCGAGAGACATACCGCCTTTGTTCAAGATCAGTTCGCGGGATTTGACGAAGAAGGAAGGCAAGATTCTCTGCGAGTGGAACTTCGCGGTGGTCGAGCTTCAGAAGGTTTACAACAGTGCAACTGGTACCAGGATGAGTCGGCCATTCACATCTGCTCTCGTCATTGCCGCGTTTACTACGATCATGGAGAATTTGTTACTGTCATGGGGTCAGACACAACTTGGACGCCAGCGTCGTTTGACGCAAATGAAGATGGTCACTTTTGCTCGTCTAGCTAGAAAACGTCGACGTGACACGTAGATAATTTAAAACTTAGTTTAAAGCGTCATGTTCATTGACCTGATGATGGGACAGGTGGGGGCGACTGGGGGCAAGAGGACATTTGTGGGGGCAAGTGAGAACAAGTGGGAGCAAGTGGAAGCAAGTGGTTAATCAACCAAATTTAAGCCAATCAAAATTCAGTCGGAGGGCCCGTCCGACTTTCTTCGATCACAACACAATTAATAGACTAGTAGTCTTCACGAATAGTTATGTCACTTCGTTCAATTATTACACGACCGCATGTAGATATGCCAGGAGTGACATCATTCCGAAATACACAGTATTAGTGTTCTGACCTCGATCGCACGTAATGCAGTTTGTCAAGACCACGGCGACTTTGAACATCTTGGCAAATGAACCGTTCCAATCCGCATTTTCTTCTTGTAGTCAACAATGGGCCAATATTGAACAACTTGTCCGAACGATAATATAAACGCGGTTCATACTCTTGTTCACGACGCGCTGGGCATCCGTCAGGCGGGCACCTCCCAAACGGCGATGCCAGATGGTTCGAATAGGCTGGATCATCATACACAACAAACCCAGCAAAGCGATCATCGCCACCAATACGTTCTCCAACTTCGACTGCCGCAGGATGGTGAGGTCATGCCGTCGACCTTCAATCGGCGCGAGAGCATGTGAGATGATTCCATCGGGGGTTACCTACGATTGGAACTTGACGGCATGGCGTCGTTTATGTCCATTGAAGACGGTGCGCTGACGTTCGTTACCACTCGGTCGACAGCACTCACGAACGGTTTCGTCGATGAAGGCCCACACGTTTTGAATTTCACCACCCTTTGCAATGATCGCATTACTGTACTCGACTGGTTGGGCGCTGATCCGGTCTCGATCGAGAAATAGTATTTCGTCGAATTCGTTGTGGATACCGGTATGGCCGAGGACGTGCAGAAAAATATTGCACAACCCACTCTGGGACCGAGCAAACATTGAGATCAAGTCTGACCAACGATCAGGGACCGCAAAATGTCGTAGCACACACAACGCCTCGATGCCACTGCATGACGTACGTTCGGTCGTCACAACTCGACTGGGGATGCGCAAGCACGCGGATAAACGAAGTAAGAACGCTTTGGTGAAGCGAAACTTATCGATGCAGTCCGCATCGGAGTAGTCGTCGAGAGTAAACGTTATTTCGGGTATGGTGAGGCGGGAGCGCTGTTGTTGACGCAACAACGCCAGTCGCACACGGAGACGAAGCGAAGACCTATGGACGAATTGATGGTGCAGGGGGTGCATTGCGAAAACTAGTCGGATTGGTTGTACATTTTGCCATGTGTTTAGTCTGCAGACTTTTCAAGGTACTGTACATCTAAAAATCCTCAATCCACAGACCACATGTACTTGATTAAGGTAATAAATTGTGTTCGAACTTGATTAGCTATAAATATAGATAAGAACAGGACGTCAGAATCGAATGGCTGACCAAGCAAGTAACCTGTAGTATGTCTTGTCGTGGACTGCGAGGACAAGTTCATCGCGGACACGAAGAAGAAGTCACATTACACCAATGTGCACTTCATCAAGAACTCATTGATTGCCCCGCACCGTCCGAGCATGTTCGCGGATATGTGTGACGAAGACCACGACGAGTACACACGGCTCACTGGCATAGTGCTCCACTCGTCGCCACATTTTGAACGTCCCGCAGAATCTTGTGTTTATGCTAGATGAGCCATGATGACAGTTCTTGTATTGTTTGGGCGACGTGCGCGGATGCCAACAGCTGTGATTCGTCCAGGATTGAGTCAGTGTCGTGTTTAAGTTCGGGTCGCGCACTAAGTGCGTTTTCTTCTTTCTCGCTGGATTTTTTCGTGCACTCTTGCTGCAGCATTTCGTCCTTCGTCGTAGGAAAGACTCACATAGGCGGTGTTAGCTGCCGTACCTTGTAACGCGGCGGCACCTGATGATGGACGTCTCGTTAACTCCTGGGGTGTGGAATATGTAGTTGCTACCTTGGTGTTGCGTGCTACAATGTATCTGTGTACCAGATGCTTGCACAGGAGAAATTTTTCGTAGGCGTACGAAGGATAGGTACAAGTCCAGCGCAGCATCGACGTGTCGTACACATCGCCTTCGTCGGCTTTCGTTGCGAAAACTTTCCACTGTGCGTTCATTCTGGATTCCCAAGATGGCAGTGCTACAAATAACCAATGAGTGCGCGCAATACTCTTATTACTATATCCCATTAGCCATGCATAGAGGACGCTAGTATGGCCTAGCCACAACTAGGACCCACTACGTACAACTAGTGGGAACCAAAATAGTGCATATCAAGGTGGTATGGGTGGATAGTAATACTGTACCATACGAAATACTTCCATCTGTTGCACAGATGAACTTGTCGCTGTACGATTCTTGTATGTTTGTCACGAGGATAAAGCAAAGAGGGTCGAGTCGTGGTCGTTGAAAATCCTGAACAAATGTGTCAAGATGATCAACAGTCACTACCCCCATACCTTTAAGAATCGATACTTCAGACAGTTAAAGTGCGCCTCAGCCATCATACTGGTTCGAAGGGTCGCCAATGCAGTTGGAGACTGAGACCTCGCCCATTTCTTGAATTCATACTATGAGTACCATTTGTTGAAAGGTACACATATAGATATGATGCGCTGCATTCCTTGCAAAGTTGTAGATTTCTTCCACAGCGCGGATGTAGAACACGCGAGCTTTGTCGTGGGGAGGCGTAGCATCGTCCTAGTTGTCACTGTGAGTACATAGCTGGGCCTAGGCAATCCAATTAATCGCTAGTAAACACTAGTTTATAAGTTAGTCCGCACATGCATCGACATAAATGGGTGAGCCTTGACTTCATTAGTGATAACAACGGCCCCAGCACCGCTTTTTCACAGAAGCTTTCCTCCAACACGTGTGTTCCATGCACCCACACTGCTAGAAACGCCGGCGTGTTCCCTTCAACATGGAGCAAGGTATTCGTCGGGGCGAACCTTAATCCAAGTCATTTATATCAATTAGCTTGCACACGTAGGTGTAGTACCGCACTTACCTGCGGATATCTGGAAACTCCTTTCCTTCATGAAGCGTGCTCGAATTGCTCGATCCATGTGCCACAAGGACAATTTCACGCCAGTCCAAACCGCCATTGCTACTGCAATTTGAGCGATATCCTTGTCCATGTGGACAAAGGCTGGATTCAACCCAAAGTCATCGCTGCAAGTAAGCGACCTTGACTTCCGCTGTGTCTACGTTAAACATTATAATCTTGCATCCACAAAATACATATAGTACACCTAGCAGCTAACGAACAACAGATACAACCACGTAGTGACACCTACTAATCTATAATAGACGCTAGTGTTACACAGTGAAATCAACGATATACTACTCTGGTCCATAAATATTGTCATGTTGTTTTTGACTCCATAAATACTTATATTTATAAATACGTAGAGGTTTATACCCCAAAATCTGCCGCCACGATGTTTGGCCGCCGTCGCGCTAAGGCGAGAGGTCTGTTCGTCAGCATGCTCTCTCAAGCTTGTATCTCCTGCAAAAAAGTGCTTTCGGAGGAGCTCGAACTAGATAATCCAAGAGGAGATCATTACCTTTCCAATGCACCAATCAGTTTAATTCAAGTCGTAAATTTAGACGAATGGCACCACGCCAAAAACAATGTGACAATCATTACGGACCAGAGTTGTACTAGTGTTTACAAATGCTTTACCGTTCACTTTCAAAAAACAAATACGACACAGGAAACCATTGACCACGAAATGGCACCAGGAGTGCGTACAATTCAAAACCTGATGCGTTCGTTTTGTGCGTCGAGTCCATCACGCACTCGGCGCTGTGAGTCTAGTCAAAGGTGTATTGTATTCCAGACATGGACTTCAGCAGCTGCGATAAAATCAAAACCACGTTTTGGACACTGCGCACGCCTGCAATGGCCAAAGTCGAGCTGAAAATGGCCGGGTACTTCTCCAGGTACTGCATGCTTGAAACGACTGGATCGTTGTGGGACTTGAAGTGATCACGCATGATCTATATAATATATCATAGTAGCTAGCTCTGTGATGCAAAATAATAAATGAATAGAATAAACCTTTCGCCAAAGATATCGAAATTTGCGATATGGTCGGCAACCTTGGTTGAGCAATTCTGCGCATCAAGTTCAAGCTGATTTGTGAAGGAGACAACGTCGGTGCAAACTTCGCAATGTACTCCAAGAAATCGTGGGGCATATTTACTGTGGATTTCTCGCGTCCAGGATGGTGTTCATGGTGAAAGATGCGAACAAAGATAGCTTTCGTCGTGCAAGCAATCGCCAACGTTCCTATTGTCGTAATAGGAATTACTAGTGTTTACCAGTTCTAACTGGTGTCAACTATGCCTACATAGAACATCACGTGAATAAAAAGAGGTCACTAGTTTTACCTTGATATTCGTAGGAGTTGTAAGCTTCCCGGATTCATCGCTTTGCAGGATTAACGTTTTTGAACTTATCGACATTGCGCTGGTGGACTTTGAGCTGGCGATCTTTGCGTTGGGAGCACCGAAAGGTAGCAACATGTGTGCCGCCGTGGTGATCAATTTGCTTCGTTTTGGCGTTACTACTAGAACGTATTAGGTGATAGTGTTATATACTAATATATAATATTGTTTTTCTACCTAAACCAAAGCCGAAGCTATCGGACAAACATTGGAGGACCCACGCATGGATGTCCACTAGTGAACTGTCCTCAACACGGGGTTGGCGAACATGTCAATACCAGTGTGTGAAGCCAGTTCCCAGATGAGCTCGTCAGAGAAAGCTGCAAATGGCATCGCTTCGAATATCGGCCCGAGGGGTTGGACAGTGATGGCCTACATGAATTACACTGTGCCCAAGGAGTGTTACAGTTACAATCAACAAACATCATCCATAGCATTTCCAACTTGCAGCGGCAGCACCGTAGCACAATAGTAGCGTCGTCGACGGCACCAAAGTCCGTGGAAATACCATCCATGATGTAATGTGTGTGGCAGTGACGACTCGTCACTGCCACACACACATTACAGACGACGACGGATTTTAACGGACACCGAAGTTTTGTCAACACATGATTTATATTATCCAATCAAATATTTTTTGACAATACAAATCAATGATTGGCTACTGGACGAATACTGGTGAAAACATTTCAAATGCTTGCCTGTTGTTTCGTTGACATGTGTATTCGTGTCATTTCACAATAGCCAACAATCGTCAGACAGGCGGTCAATCAGGTAAGGAATTGCGAATGACATGGAGACGTGAGTGGTCGTAGGTAAGCCTATGTGTATCTATGTACTAGTATATCTGGCAGCGTGGCCAGCTGCAACAGGAGTCGATCACAGGTCGCGGAGTGTGCGAGGAGGCTCACGGCACAGGAGGCTCATGGATTCTGTAGGAGGAGCTGCGCACGAGGTGATATCGTCGGATTATGAGACTTTCCCACGTCTCTAGGGCCCACCGCGATCTTCATGACCTACTGTACTGTTCAGGAAGGTGGAGCGGTGGACGAGTTATGTAGAGCATCTTCTAGATGGGGTATGAAATGTTGCTTTCTGCTTAGCAAGAAGTGACCGGCAAGCGAGACTAAAGTTCGCTGAAGCTATTCCTCAATTGCGCGTGATATTGTAGATTCTAGTAACGTTTGGTGTGTGTTTTGTTTGAAGCATTCAGTTGAATGCTTCAAACACACATCATGCAACTAATCTGCCAGGAGATAGGCATTTAGTTCAAAATTTTAAATAGAATGGTCAAATTAGGGATTACCGCTTTGCAGTCTGACACTATAACCACTGCGCCACAGCGTCAGCTCTTGACGGTTATTTTTTTTTACCATTACTGAGCACCTTACGAAATCCTCCCTTTATCAAATAATAGTATGTACTTTGAGAGAATTGTTAGACACTTGACAGCACAGGCACCATCGCTAACACGCCTGCCAACATGATGGGCTAGTATGCCGCACTTAGTCAAGATCCAACTCGCACCACCTGTCCGCAAAACCACCACAGCGACTCAAGCCGCTTGAGTCAATGTGGGTGATCCTGCGGACGGGTGGGTCAAACGCCAACGCATGTAAACACGTGCATACACGTAGCGCAACAACCTCGATACTGTACCTGAACAAAACTAAAACCAACTGGCGACAACAAGCATGCGCCGACCGGTTCGCCAGTTCCCTTGGATAAGCCCACGACACGTCCACCGAAGCTAACTGTTTTCGATTCAAATTATGGCGGATGTGTGAGTGGCCAGTACTCATTTTCCTGGGCGTTCGGGAGGTGTTAGAAACAACTCTATGTCGAAATACTGCGGCGTACTTCGCACACAATTAGATGCATCATAAATGGAAACGAGGCCATGGGCAACGTATTGTTCGTCGATCTGACTTGGTCAACGAACAATGCGTTCCCTGTCATCGTACAACCAACCGGTAAGTGTCGTGCTAGTTCTGGAGATAGCATATTCGCTGAGGAAACGCATAATAAACATGAAAGAGGACAACGTTCTACGGGCTTTGGATGCAAGGCCATGGCGGCGGCGACACTGTCGGTGCCGTAGATTCCGCCAACAAAGGCATTGAGAGGCAGCGTCATGCACTTTGTCTTCGTCGGATGCGGTCGGTCAAAAGTCATAACCGAATCCGACGTGAAGCAGCAATGTCGAAGTACTTTGTCGTGGTCGGTGACATAGTACTGCGGAAACGCGTGCGACTTGCCCAACTCGTTGAGGCGCGCCAAATCTAACGACCCCTCGTTCTGCCAACACAATGACCCGAGTACGATGTTGAACTCATTTGTCATTGATGTAAGGTTGCATGTTGGTGCAGGCCTGTTCTGCAGTGTGCTGAGCAATTGGGTCGCGCGTTAGTTTGACCCATTGCTAACACACACACTCTGTGTGTGGCGTGTCAAAGGTTCCGATACCTTAGTGGAGTTACTGAGTACTTTAGTGAATGGTAGTCAGTAGGCGCCTCGTGGCGTGTTTAACCTCACTAATGTCAGTGTGTATATTTGCAGCCTTGACGAAGGTCCCGTGGCCGAAAGCCAAGAAGAAGCGGGAGATAAAACAAAGATATCTTTAGTTCGTTGTTGACCTATTCACTGGAGATGGTACGAGAACATTCCTACGACAAGGAAACGCCAACCAACGCCGAAGAACGATCGCGTGACCGGATCGAGGAGCTGCGAGGACGCGCCGCTCGGTGCACCGTTGAGAACCCGTTCAGATCTCCCCGACGACGACAGCCACCTGCTGTCGACGAATGGCAACCGCCCCGTGGTGGGTTTTACACCCTTGCCACAACCCGAGGAATACCAGCTGTCGCAGCGTTTGCCTGAGCTGCTGCTTCACTT